TTCAAAACGAAAGATTGTATAACGTAGCGAAGAGTTGATTTATTAAATTCGATCTTTTTTTTTTTTTACAATGAAAATTGAAAACAAACATATTTTGATATTTTCAACCTGGACAACACCTTATACGACACATGTACTTGAAAGCTAGGGATGGCTATGCCTGAAACTTGGAGTCACTTGCTAGGTAGGAGGAGAGCAATCGATCAACATCATCCATCTCCTTCATGGCTACTCTTAACCAAATAGTTGTATGACTGTCACTTCTATAACACGCCATACACGAAAGTGTGGAGTATTTACAGCGGCATTTCGCGGGATCGAACCTTCGACCTTTTGCGCTGCAGCATAATACACTAACTCTCAGGCCACAACCAGTCATATATATATTAGTATAGTAACACCATTTAAAATTTTAAAATAAAACTTAAAAGTCTTCTATAAAAAAAAGGAATATACAATGTAACTGCATACTTTATGAATAACCCTAAGAGCTCTTCTTTTTGACTCTTCAGGCAAAGTTCTAGTTGCTCATAATTAAGAACTTACGTCCTTTGATAGACACACCCTGACGCCAAGAGAAAAATAACGAGGAATACAAAAGATCCCTTGGTTAGCTTTTGCGGTCTTGGCCTAGTTTTTATTCAGTGTTTTCTGGAGTTTTCTGACGACCTTCAAGGACGAATGCTTGGATGTTTTTAAACATAAATCTTTCTCAAGTATTAAGCCTATGTTGACCTTCTACAATTATTAAAAATGACCTCGTCACTGTAGGAAAATCTAGTTATAAAAAAAACAACGAACATTTCTAACTAAACACCTTTCTCCAGCAATCTAACAATAACCAGCGGTCTCTTTCTTAGTGGTAATTCTTCTACACAGAATGAACTTTGTAAGATCACTTTCCTTTCCTTACTGCTAATGCACTCTATTAGTTGACACTGATAAAATATTTTTTTAGTTAAAGCTATTAAAAATTAACATTACGTGTCACCAAAAAAATCATTAAATTGTGTAATTTTTATTTAATCAGTTTTCATAAGAATTTAATAGGTAAGCGTTATTTTACGCTTAGGCCAGAAATATAAATATTTTTTTGTGTATGTTGCAAAGTCAAAACAAATACCTTCATGTTTTCGTATATTAAAATGTTTTCTCTTCAAAAGGAGGGTCTTTGATATTTTAAATGATATGGGAAATCCTGTGCTTGAACGAAAGTACCAAAGAGTTCTAAAATGTATTCTATTTAGCTGTTAATTAACAGCTGACGACTGTTTTAGTTTATTTTTGTTTTAATTTCTCAAGTTACCAATTTTCTGTATCACGGGAGTTTATAATGCATGAAATTGAATTTTAATATTATAAGAATTATTCATTTCATGAATTTGTATTTTCTCGAAGCGACGGTGTCTTTCATAACGGTAATGATGTTATCTAGGAGTTGAATTTAAGTACCATAAAATAATAGTAATAATATCGCTCTGTACACTGATTGCACCTAACCTTACGTGATATTGGTCTGAGAGTAATATTTTATAAGTGTTGTTTTGATATAGGGTGACGCATGCATAAATAGATCAGAATTACGCCAGACTAACTGTGCTAAACATCTTAACCCGTTTCCACAGCATCCTCAATACAATAACGATGTCGGTTTTCCTAAATCGTTATGGTTTTAGGCAACCTATGTTAAACATATGGAACTATCTTCACAGTATTCCCAATACAATAACGATATCAGCTTACCTAAATCATCATAGTATTATAAAACCTATTCTAAACATCTGAACCCATCTCCAAAGTATCCTCAATATAATAACGTCATTGACTTGTCTAAATGAGTGTCTCTCAACCACCTTATCGGTTCGTACAATATCACGAAAAGAAACAAATCTTTTATAACTTATGTTTTAGTAACAACAAAATATAAATAAAAACTGTATTTGAACAACGTCTTGCAATAAAAAGTGACACAACGTTTACAGTATCAAAAGTTTGATTCGTATTTCCACACTTCAAAGTCACACTACTGAGGTAATTGACTTCTAATTAATATTCTTCCTGTATTTTTTTTATCAGACTAATATGGAAAATAATCTTTGATGTTTTGAGCATCACGTTTATTACTAAAAACATCTTATAAATAACTGATATGTAAACAACTTACTAAATAAAACAACAGCTTTTGTTGTGATTGAAGACTTTATCTTTTTCAAAAGAATAAAACCTAAACTGAATTAAAACAATCCAAGTTACATTATCAACAGACGAAATAAATACAAATTTATTGAAGATTCTGCTATTTATGGTACCTATCAAATGTTGTTTTACTTCACAAAATGTTTTACACACAACCATAAGGGAGACAATTTATGTATTAAAGTTGTTACGTTCAAGTCCATAAGTAATATTCTCACGTTCATTGAATTAGCTCGTGGGAACAGCAAGATAACAGGAGAACTGACAGACTGTGGCTGAATTTTCTCTAGCATTGACCGAGTCTGAGTTACAAGAATGAGACAAGATACAGGCGCAGAAATGTGTACCACAAATCTATCTCAGTATATATGAAAATCTGCCTGGTTATCTATATATCGAACAAAAAAAGAATGTCAGTATATACCTCTGCTCCAGGCACATATGCTAGCTACGTAACTGGGGACCACTCTTATCAGCAAGGACTGTCATACTCTTGGGCTATCATCTGAATTTCCAGCAAAAAACGATCACTGTCGCTATCTATAGCATACCTCATACTACAACAATATCTTTTAATGAGGAGCACATGTGAAGTTCGTGTGAATAACTAAGGCGAGACAAGCTTAGCAGTTCTCTTGACCGACATTTTGTATTAATAATAATAATAAGAAAAAGGCTGAGCTATACTGAAATTTTCAAACATTTATAGCAAGGAAGGGGTTAGAAAACATGTGGTATCCTGATATACAACTTCTAGATACATTTATAGCAAGGAAGGGGTTAGAAAACATGTGGTATCCTGATATACAACTTCTAGATACATTTATAGCAAGGAAGGGGTTAGAAAACATGTGGTATCCTGATATACAACTTCTAGATACATTTATAGCAAGGAAGGGGTTAGAAAACATGTTGTATCCTGATATACAACTTCTAGATACACTTATATGCGAAATTGAACGCTTAGCCCTTCTACTCAGTGACTCAGCAGTAAGCTTGAGGACACATAACTCCAAAATTCATTATTCGATTCCTGCAGGGACATTGTTGATACCCCATTGTGCAGCTTCAAGCTTAAATCAAATAATTTACGGAAAATATAAGCTGCTGTTTTATTTTGTTTACGGACCTCCAGTGGTTCAGTGATATGTTTGCAGACTTACAGCATTAAAATAAGACTTCGATACTCGTGGTGGGCACATAGCCCATTGTGTAGCTTTGTACTTAACAAAACAATCTTTTGTTTACGAACCAAGACTAATACTATTTGTTTAAACAAGCAATACCTATTAGATCAGGAACATTTTTATTTTTTTGGATATTGGGGAAGCAAAGATGTCTTCATTGAACATATATTCATGATCGATACGAAAAAAATTGTAATCTGAACGACAATATTTTACGAGTTTAGGATCGGATAAAAGGACTAAATTACTGAACGTTCTGACATTGAAAAACAAAAAAATCCTATTAAACCCTCACATGGGAAGACAGCTTTTAGTAAGTACTTTACTTTTGCGATTACCTAAAACGTCCTTTACAATCCTGTTGATATTAAACATGTGCATATCAATCTGACATGGCTACTAGCAAAGGGTTACACATTAAGAACAGTAGAAAAATGGGTAACGATTATATTTCGTCACTGACTGACTTATTCTTTGGTCTAAAACTTTACTTACCTACCTTTTTTTATTGAATTTAATTTCCATCTGACGACCTTGCCACCACGGAAGATACTAAGTGCGTTATTACTGGGAACATGTTAAACCAGTATGAACAAACTGATAAATTTTCTCAGTAAAATACATACTTAGAAATTGAGCAATGAAACAAGACGGCTGAAAAAAATTGTGAATCTAGTCTGTTTTATGATGATTATTTAAAGAGGAGAAAATAATGTGTATTATCTGAAATATTTAGTTTGTAAATTTGTTTTGTTTGTTTGTAGATAAATACAAAGCTATACAGTTTCTAGCGTTATAAGTCAATAGACTTACCGCTGTGACACTCAGGGCTAGTTTATGTCATCTTTATTTCACCTCAAGGTTTTCTATCAATGAGAAATTTGTCTTTTAAATTTTACCCTTCCAAAACATTTAAAAAAGGTATTTGCACGAAGACGCAAAGTAAAGTAGAACTATACATTTATGAAAAAGTGATTAACTTCTTTTCATTGAAACGCTTAGTAAGTTTAATTTATGTTTTAAAGACGCCATTGGTTGCTGACCAGTTTAGCATATAATACTCTATTGTTTCAAATAAGAAGGTAAAGAAAGTTGAAAAGTCTATTTGGATTTTCTATTTCTCAAATAATATAATTTGAAGTCAACTACTGGTTAATTATATAAACGTTTACAAGGCATTTACAACTGACCGGTAACTGATAATAGGACAGTAACAGGAATCTAAAAAGGAAGTAGAAAGTGTTGTTGGTCAGATATCACATGTTGTTTCTATTATTAAATTCAGTATATTAAAATTTCAAAACATTTATGCTTATGTTCGACGCTTCCTCATACGTTGGATCGTTTAAACAATTTCCAAACAGATTAAACGTTTGTTCATCTCATATGATGACCTTTTGTACCTGTCACTTTATTAGCATATACACACTAATCTGCCACGCCCTATAGCCAGAAGTAAGAGATGGAGCAGTAGGATTGGGTTTTGAACGCAGTGAAAATGAAACTGACCTATTTAGCAGCTGTCCTTTTTACGCAATTCAATATTTACCATGAAGCTCTATTTGGCCTTCGTATACGCCTTACGACCTTGTCACCAAAAAATAATCGAGATCTATCAACGAGTATAAAAAGGATGACTGTCAGCTACAAACTACACAGCGTTCTTCAACAACAACTAGCCGTCTTCATCGGATTGGAGTGGTAGTTCTTCTATACAAGATGAAATTCGTAAGTTAATCTTTCCATTGAAAAGTAAAAATACCCAGCAGTAGAAGTGTTCTATAGCCTATAAGTTAAATTTTCTTACAATTACAAATTTGTAATAACATTGATAACGTTTAACATCCTTACAAATTGTCCATACACCTTTTGGTGGACGAATAAGTTTCTAGTGGGATCGTAGTGTTTTGTAAAATAAGATATACTAATGAAACTACTAAAGTTAATATGAAACATGACTGTCTACTTAATAAAAGTTATCTGGAATTGGCTTCCTTGAAAATAAGAACTGTTTAGCATGATCAACTTAATGTTTCAGCTCGCAGTTCTTCCCTTGTGCTTCGCTGCCTGTATGGCCGAAATGTTGTTGAACTTCGATGCTGAAAAGGGCAACTTCATGTACAGTACCGGGGACGAGGGTGCTCACGCTCGTGAAGAAACCCGAAGCGGTGGCACTGTGACCGGCAAGTACAGCTATATCGATGCTAACGGTGACATGCGTGAGGTCCGCTACACTGCTGGTCCTGGTGGATTCATGCCCGAAGGAGACATCTCTGTGGATAAGAAGACTGCCGCAGAAGCTGACAAAATCGCTGCTATGGCTCCCAAAGCTCCAGAGATCGAGCCTGTCAAGGCCACTCTGCCAGTCCATCCCTTCGCTTACAGCCCTTTCTACTCTGGACACTACCCCTTCTACACTGGTCATCACTACTTTGGACATCACCCTTTCAATAATGCCGCTTACTTCCCTCACCGTTATTACGCTCCCCATGCTCGCACCTATTCGCATTTCTATTAAATTGAAACTAAACAATACCGAATGTTAATTATAACTACCTTTATACTATGATGTGACTGTACCTTAAACTGTATGCACTTAAAGTATCTGTGGTAACAGAACTCTCCCTAAACTCTTAGCTAATTTCTATGTCTTCTCTGTTTCCTTTTCCTTCAGACTCTTCATATGAACAGCCTACTGTTCAAGTTTTGTAAGAATCTTGCTAAATTCTTCATAATTTTACTCTGGTACTTTTGTGTATTTTGCTTAATATTTGCATATGTTATTTTAACCCTAAGATTTACCTGATACCTCAATAATGAAGTTTACGTCAAGTGAGATTGTGATTTGAGCGTGAATGTTTTATAACGAGTAATGTATAAAAAAATAAAAGCGTTCACAAAGCATTTTTTGGTTTTGGTTTTATTTCTAAATAACAACACGATACTGTGTTTTTCTGTCAAACAGGCAAAAGAAAGTCAACTAATTATTACCAACTATTGATCAAAGCAAGTTAATTACATAGATTAGAACTAAAAACAACTTAGTAAATATTGTAGATAATTCTATGTACTAGTCTAATTAATGGTACGCAGTGTCATAAAACGAATCACAAGAAAAAACTTACAATAATTAGAAGCCATTTGATGCATCAGCTAAATTCCATCACTATTATTGATATTTTTGGAATAACTGAAAGTTTAAGTACAAAACGAAATGCCATTTCGAACCATTTGAGCAAATTGTATAGAATTTAAACATTCTTTCTGCTTAAAATGTAATATAAATGTCGCACGTCTAAAACTTGATTTGCCTTTTTTTTTTTTTTGCAAATTTACAAACATGTCATTGCTTTTATAATTGACATTCTAAAACAGGAAAATGGAAGGAAAACTAAATTTTTATTTCATTTATTACAACTTTTTTTTAAAGCGTATAACCCGTCTGTTATCCTCGAAAACCATTTTTCTTCTCCGGTGGGTCAGCGGTAAGTTTACAGACTTACATTGCAAAAATCCGGGGTTCGATTCCCCGCGGTGGACACAGCAGATACCTCAGTATGGCTTTGCTCTAAAACAAACAAACAAATTCTCCCTAAATATAGTCTTTATTTCCTTTGAAGAGTTTATAAAATACTGTTAGGTAAGGTACTAAGTTGTTAAGTGCAAGAGCCATTTTGAATTATTTGTTTGAACAATATGAATGTATAGTGTATGAAATTTGTCAAGGTGTAAATTGTTTTAATTAACTAATCTTTCTGAATCCAACTAGAATATTCATATAGTTTCTGTTAACATACATATAAATATATATATATATATATACGTATACCTTTTATTTTTCAGTTTTCGCGATTCGCAGACTTCGGCAATTTGCGGGGCTGGTATATTACTTAGAAACGTTTCATCAAAGGATCCAGAGTTTGAGACGTGATGCCAAATACGCTTCACACTTTAAGCTGTAGACGCGTTACAAAAGTGCTAGTCAATTCTGTTAATCTGTTCAAAAGAGTTAAAACAAAGCCCTTGTTGCCAAGAGCAGTAGCGTGCAGAAGGGAGGGGCGAAAGATGCCGGGGCCCCGGGCATCCACATCGAGAGGGCATCCAATGCAAAGAGTCGAATCGAATAGTAGAACCCTTTCCGCCCTTCCCCAAGGTCTTAGGTACAAGGCCCTGGGCATCATAGAACCTCTTCACACCACTGACATAACTGAGGGCTGCTGACTGACTGGCTGCCTTTCCCCTGGTTAGTAGTTTCAAATTAGAGACGGCTACATCAGAGACTAGACCACGTGCGCGTAAGGTGTCATTCAGGCTAGAAATCCCTGTTACGTTTCCAGCAAGCATCCGTGTTGGCGAACGTGAAATCAGATAATGTCATTTTCAACAGGTTGATATAATTCCAGTAGAAAACCACAGAAAAATGTTCTTGTGTTGAAATGAAAAATGATTCATTAGAAAAAGAGTGAAAACAATTCTTTTGAAACTGTTAGTTTAAAATCTTTCAAAACAAATAATCTATTGTTTTAGCAGATTGTTTTGCGTAATAAAGGAAATGTGTGATGAAAATAACGTTAAAGTAATTTGAAACCACCAGTTTTTAAAATCATTCTTTACTAGGAGATCGTTGCTTTGAGCATAATTCTCATTTTCAGTTTAATGTTTATCGATACAAACGCGGTAAAGATCTGTATACAGGTACTAGATAGAACAAGTTTTTATGTGAAAACTATTTGTTTGTTTGTTTTGACTTTCGCGCAAAGCTACACGAGGGCTGTCTGCGCTAGCCGGCCCTAATTTAGCAGTGTAAGACTAGAGAGAGGGCAGCTAGTCATCATCACCCACCGCCAACTCTTGGGCTACTCTTTTACCAACTAATAGTGGGATTGACTGTAACATTATAACGCCCCCACGGCTGAAAGGGCGAGCATGTTTGGTGTGACGGGGATTCGAACCCGCGATTTATTCACTCGTAGCCAAACGGCATGCACTTGAACCCGTTATAAGATGCGCAATATTGAATTCCCAGCAGATTCGGAGAAGGATAACACTTAGAAAATTGTCGATTTTATGTATATCTGATGAAACATTATTAGCTTCACACTATAGATACAGTATTGAGATGTGTAGTCAATATGTTTAATAACGTGTTTCCATAAGCCAATGAAAGAAACACAAATAACTGATTTCACACTTTGCCATCAGTAAACAGTTTTTTAAGACTGAAATGGAAAATAATGGAAAACTTAAGTTCTACAACCCACGTAAAGAGCTAAATTATTAAAGATTAATTCGATTAAACGGATAAAAGTAAAACAGCTTTTTTATATTTATTACGAGTGTAATGTTTACCACCAAGACAGTTAGTTTGAAATTAAGCACAAAGCTACACAAT